GTGTTGGCACTTCCTCAAGGACCCAACTTGGATTTTCTTGGAATTGAGAACTTGATCAAATCAGAGTAATTGGGCGACAAGGAGTTCTGATGAAGACGTACAGTATATCAGGAAGTGGATGGGTACAGCCATTCTAAAGGGGCCTGGATACAGTTAATCAGAACAGAACTGGGTACAGCAATTCAGAATACAACTGGATACAACCAATCAGAATACAACTGAGTAAAGCCTATCAGAATACAATAGGATACAGCCAAACAGAATGCAACTGAGTACAGCCAATCAGAATACAACTGGATAAAGCCAATTAGAATACAACTGGGTACAGCAATCAGAATATAGCTCAGTACAGCCAATCAAAATACAACATGATGCATCCAATCAGAACACAACAGGATGCAGGCAATCCGAATATAACTTTGACCCGTGACCCTTGAACCATTTCAGAATTTAACATTAACATTGTTTTCATAACGAGATGATGAATCACAATTTGGAGACGACTTTTTTTTTCATTAACATACAATAGTTCCATAATAATGTAAACATGAATAATTTTTAATAAGTTTTGTTGACTTTGTCGGTAGTTCACTATTTACCAGTCGGCTGTGTAACTTTTAAACTCGGTTACTGTATAGCGTGTGTGGGGGGAATAGGTGTAGATTTTTATAATGTTCACGATACAAATTTTATTATAATTTAGCTATTGTCCTTTGTTGGGTATTCTGAAATTGCCAAAGCAAAACGAGTTGTATGTGCTAAATTACCTATGTGTTAGGGTACATATGAGTTAAAATGTATGTGTTATATGTGTTAGGGTACAAACAGTTAAATTATATATGTGCTAGGGTACATAGTTACGATGAAAGTTACAGATGAATTAATGTACTTATGATTCAAGGTACAGTCAAAATAAAATGTTCGCCGAAAATCACCAGTCAGCATTACTGTATGTTTTCTGTTCATATCAACTACATGAGGCTCCCGACCACAACACGACGCGTGGTGGTGGACCTTCACGAGTTATAAACAGAAAGAAACACTATGTTGACTACATGGCGATTTTTGGCGAACTTTTCATTTTTGTTGTACAGTATACCCTGGATAGTCATTTGGCAAAGATTAATACTCTATCAAGCTGGGCTAGTTAATACTCTATCAAGCTGGGCTAGTTAACACTGTATCAAGCTGGGCTAGTTAATACTGTATCAAGCTGGGCTAGTTAATACTCTATCAAGCTGGGCTAGTTAATACTCTATCAAGCTTGGCTAGTTAATACTGTATTAAGCTGGACTAGTTAATACTGTATCAACCTTGGCTAGTTACTACTCTATCAAGTTTGGCTAGTTAATACTGTATCAAGCTGGGCTAGTTAATTCTCTATCAAGCTTAGGCTACTATCAAAGTATCAAGCTGGCTAGTAATACTGGGCTTAGGGGCTTACTGTATCAAGCTGGGCTAGTTAATACTCTATCAAGCTTGGCTAGTTAATACTGTATTAAGCTGGACTAGTTAATACTTATCAATAGTCTATCAAGTGGCTAGTTAATACTGTATGAAACTTAGTTATTAGTTAATAGTACATCTAAGTGACTTTAATGTTGTATCAAGCTCAGTTAACAGTTAATACTGTATCAAGCTCAGTTAACGGTTAATACTGTATCAAGCTCAGTTAACAGTTAATACTGTATCAAGCTCAGTTAACAGTTAATACTGTATCAAGCTCAGTTAACAGTTAATACTGTATCAAGCTCAGTTAACAGTTAATACTGTATCAAGCTCAGTTAACAGTTAATACTGTATCAAGCTCAGTTAACGGTTAATACTGTTTCAAGCTCAGTTAACGGTTAATACTGTATCAAGCTCAGTTAACAGTTAATACTGTATCAAGTTCAGTTAACAGTTAATACTGTATCAAGTTCAGTTAACAGTTAATACTGTATCAAGCTCAGTTAACAGTTAATACTGTATCAAGCTCAGTTAACAGTTGATACTGTATCAAGCTCAGTTAACGGTTAATACTGTATCAAGCTTAGTTAACAGTTAATACTGCATCAAGCTCAGTTAACAGTTAATACTGTATCAAGTTCAGTTAACAGTTAATACTGTTTCAAGCTCAGTTAACAGTTAATACTGTTTCAAGCTCAGTTAACGGTTAATACTGTTTCAAGCTCAGTTAACGGTTAATACTGTTTCAAGCTCAGTTAACAGTTAACAGACACAGTATTTCCAGAAGTTAATCGTCGTGGCTAGCTGGGAGGACCAAACACAATCAAGTCTTTGTTTAATCGTTTGTCTTTCTTGTTTGTTTATCCCGCGCAGTTGTATCGTCGAGACTCTGAGTGGCCGGGGACTTGTTTACTCTCTACCATGGTGATTTAACTCCTTTGTTTATGAGGGATCATGTTTGTCTTTAGGGATTATATATGTGTGTGAGGGATTGTTTATGAGGGGTTAGGTTTGTTTATGAGGGATCATGTTGTTTATGAGGATTGTTTTTGTTTGTGAGATTGTCTTTGTTTAGATGACTTGTTTGTTTGTGGGGATTGTGTTTATTCAAGAGGGATTATCTTTGCTTATAGGGATATAACAGCTTGTTTATGAGGGAGTACATTTGTTTATGAGGGATTATATTTGTTTATGAGTACTTAACCGTTTTATATAAAAGATTAAACCTTTGGTTACAATGTTTCTTCATTTCACTCGAAAACTTAACCCTAAAAGGACGATCAAGTCGATGATGTACTCCACATCATTAAGACCGAGACCGAAACGACCCCACCTATGAGGTTTTACCATAATAACTTTAGTACATTATTAGGGCCTCAGTCCTTACCAGCTTAATATTCTGGAGGAGTTGAAATCCCTGGTTGACGGAGCCGAGGGTCAGTGTTGTCCGCACACTGTGTTTATACCAATTACTGAACTATTTTTTCTTCTAATTTCATTATATAAATATGAGTAATTGAATGAACTCACTTTACTTTTATAATATTTTTTTGAGGGTCATATCTATCACACCAAACTCACCTGATCATATTCAGGTAATATAAAGAAACCAGCCACCGTCAGGGCCCAACGTAGCCCCACGCCTTCGTGGTCGTGAGTGTGTCATGTCGTGTGGTCAGGTCATCACAGAGACCGACACAGCACATCGATCTCCACCTGATAGCTTGATTAGAATCAACCTTTCGCAGTCATCAGCGCCGATACGACAACGTAGTGTCATGGGCCAAGACAACGTCAGTCCTTGGTGGGGTGTAATGGTGTGAGGCGGCTGGGCCACCAGCGGAAGACTATATAAGTGTTGAAAATGGTCTTGAGTAATAAAGTACTGTACACTGAACCACAGACTCACCATGGTGTTATAATCAGTGCGAGGTGATATAAAGCAGATGTGGGGTTGGATACCAGTGTTGACCTAAGAAGGTTGGTGGGACCTCTGTGATACAGTCACTTAACGTTCTTTGTGGGTGGTTAAGTCATTCCCTCACCGTAAAATAACCTTTTGGGGGGATAACAACGTGATATCGTAACGTTAACGACTTGAAGCTAGAGAAGAAAATCCCTCGTTGGAAACTGAATTATTACTGGAATAGCTGCCAGATGTTGCTAGAGTACTGCTATAAGACGTATGGCTGAATGTAGCCAAATAATTTTGTTTTACCTTTAATTGATTTTTAAGTTTCTAAACTTCTTACATGACCAAAGAGGACAGAAATCATATACAGTGGATAAATAAAGGAGTATTTAAACTTGATGGAGAAGGTGTGTTGACATTGGTGTTCAACTGCTGTAAGTCAGGGCTGTGAGGGAAGGACTGTGGATTTAGCAAACGAATTCCATTTAAGAGCTGTTGAATGACGGGGGACTTGGGGTACCATTTGAATCCCATCCAAAAATTCATTTTCCATTGGTTGATTTGTGTTGTTGCGGTTGGTTGTTGGGATTGAAAACAACTATTTACCAGGAGTAAGTCACTGGGCTAGCTATATCAGCCAGGGTTCACAGTTTCAGAGGGTCACCTGATACATTTTCCTCGTAACTCGAAATTAAAGATATAATTATGTAGTTAACTAAAACACAAAAATAACCACCATAAATAGCATCAATACTACACCAAGATTACCTTGACTAGATACGTTCACTAAACACCAGTTTGGAGACGAAATTTAACTGAATGTTTTGATGCACAGTGAACGTACTGTACAAGTATCACAACGTCCTCGGTGAGAAGATGGCTTCACCTTACTCGTGTTTGTACCTGGTTATTATCGTTCCGTTATGGCGCTCAGCAATCACAGCACTCGTTTCCTGACCTAAGGATCGCTGGTTCGCGCCAGGTGTACCCTCACCTGGGAAAAATGATAGCAGTACCACGCTACCTGGTGGTAGAGTGGTACCGCTCTTGCCTTCGCAAGCGAGATGTCACGGGTTCGATTCGCGGGTGTAAATCGAAAGTTGCGAATTCGTATTCAGGGACAAGTAATTGGAGCTTCCAATAACTTGATGACATAAAACCATTGACTCTTCAGGCTTCTACGCCCTTAACTCATGAGACATAAAGGCAAGCATGAACTTAGCATGCTTCACTGTTGGGCACTGTAAACGCTTCTGTGCTTCACCTTACACAAGGATGTAGTGGAGTGCCCAATAAATAATAATAAAAAAAATAAAAAAATAAAAAAGTCTCCGTGTGGTAGCGTTAGCATTCGACACACGAACTGGTTATGCTACATTTTCGGAACGTTATGTCGATTAGGTTGACATGTCAATAATTAACACAAAATGTCGACTTCAGTTCCAGTTCGTTTAAATATCCACATTGTAACTATTGTTTGTCAATAATAAACAACGATAGCGAGGTGTGGAAGACAGTGTCATCCCACAGTTCAGTAATTGAGATGCGGGAAGTGACCAGAATAATTTGACACCATTTTACATTATAGTGAGTCAGTGTTCTACCGTGAACTAAATAATTGTCTTCACATTTTAGTGTTTCTGAAAGAAAACCACGATAATTATTACTTAGTAACATCTTAACAAAAGTACCCGAGCGAGAAAAATAAGTGATACCAAGCTTTTCATTGTGAGTGCGTGTTTGTGTCATTCACCGTGATCGGCGAATCATTTACCCATACCAGCGAAGATTTGCAAAGTAACGAAAACTGGCCACATAGTCACAAAGACTCAGCTGTGCCAGTGTGACCTTTCGAGTGTTGACATCGTGAACTATACATACAATATTTAAGCTCACAGAACTCCAGTGCGACCTTTCGGGTGTGCGAACTTTGACATTGTGGGCGGGCGGTAGGCGGGCAATGTCTGCCTGAGCTAAGGAGAAAAAGAACAAGAGGAGAGGGTTGACTTGAAACTTGCGGTTATCTAGTGGTGAAGTCAGGGAGGGCAACAGGTGTGGGCTGTATGTGTGAGGACAGAGCTAAGACCAACACCAAGATGAACCCGCTGTTCTGGTTACCGCGGTCCCGCCCAGCCTCGCGGACCCCGGCTACCCGCACCTGTTCCCGGCCCCACTCCCCTGGGGGCTACTACTACTACACCATGGTGAGTCACCCTACACCTGCTGTTACACTTGTTATACGATTCTACACCTGCTACTACACCTGTTTTATCATCTTACACTTGTTATGCCACCCTACACCTGCTGTTACACCTTTTATATAATCATATACCGACTGCTACACCTGTCATATCGTACACTTGCTGTTACACCTGCTATATCATCCTCCACCTGCTACTACACCTGTTATATACTATTCTACACTTATTATATCATCCTATACCTGTTAGGTCATCTTACACCTGTTGTTACACCTGTTATATCATGCTACATTTGCTACTGCACCTAATATATCACCAAGCACCTGTTGCTACACCTCTTATACTATACACATGTTATATCATCCTACACCTGTTATATCATTCTACACTCCTGTTGTATCTTCCTTCATTTGCTGCTAAACCTTTTATATAATTCTACATTTGTTATATTAGTCTACACATGCTGCTACACCTGCTAAATCATTCTACACCTATGTTACACGTGTTATATCACGCTACACCTGTTTTGTCATCCTACACCTGCTGTTACACCTGTTATATCATGCTAGACATGTTAATATCATCCTGGGGTGCTGCTACACCGTATCATACTATACTTGTTGTTACATCTAATATATCATCCTCTACCTGCCACTACACCTAATATATCAACCTCTACCCTCCACTACACCTAATATATCATCCTCTACCTGCCACTACACCTAATATATCAACCTCTACCCTCCACTACACCTAATATATCATCCTCTACCTCCACTACACCCAATATATCATCCCCCACCTGCCACTACACCCAATATATCATCCCCACCTGCCACTCACACCAAATATATCATCCCCACCTCCACTACACCTATATATCATCCTCTACCTGCCATTACACCTAATATATCATCCTCCACTCACACCTAATATATCATCCCCACCACCACACCCAATATAACATCCTCTCTCCCTGCCACTACACCCATCATTTCATCCCCACCTGCCACTACACCCAATATAGCATCCTCCACCTGCCACCACACCCAATATATCATCCCCACCTGCCACTACACCCAATATATCATCCCCACTCCTGCCACACCTGATATATCATCCCCCCACACCACACCCAATATATCATCCCCCACCTGCCACTATTCCTAATATATCATCCCCACCTGCCACTACACCCAATATATCATCCCCACCCTGCCACTACACCATATATCATTCTCTACCTTCCACTACACCTAACATATCATCCCCCACCTGCCACTACACCCAATATATCATCCCCACCTGCCACTCACACCCAATATATCATCCCCACCTGCCACTCACACCTAATATATCATTCCCCACCTCCACCACACCCAATATATCATCCCTCTACCTGCCACACCCAATATATCATCCCCCACCTGCCACTCACACCCACATATCATCCCCACCCCACTACACCCAATATATCATCCCCCACCCCACTACACCTCAATATATCATCCCCACCACCACACCCCACTATATCATCCCATACCTGCCACTCACACCCAATATATCATCCCCACCTGCCACCACACCACATATCATCCTCTACCCACACCACACCCAATTTATCATCCCCCACCTGCCACTCACACCCATATATCATCCCCACCTGCCACTACACCCACATATCATCCCCACCTGCCACTCACACCAAATATATCATCCCCACCTGCCACTACACCCAATATATCATCCCTACATGCCACTCACACCCACATATCATCCCCCTACCTGCCACTACACCCAATATATCATCCCCTACCTGCCACCACACACCAACATATCATTCCCCACTTCCACTACACCCAATATATCATCCCCACCTGCCACTACACCCATATATCATCCCTCTACCCGCCACCACACCCAATATATCATCCCCCACCTGCCACTACACCCAATATATCATCCCCTGCCACTACACCAATATATCATCCCATACCTGCCACTCACACCCACATATCACATCCCCACACCACACCCCACATATCATCCCCACTTCACACCACACCCAATACATCATCCCCACCTGCCACCACACCCAATACATCATCCCCCACCACACCACACCCAATTACATCATCCCCACCTGCCACCACACCCACATATCATCCCCCACCTGCCACCACACACACATATCTCCACCTGCCTCTACACCCATATATCATCCCCATCTGCCACCTAAACCCAATATATCATCCATACCCCACTACACCCAATATATCATGCCCCACCCGCCACACACCCAATATATCATCCCCACCTGCCACCTCACACCCATTATATCATCCCACCTGCCACCAAACCCAATATATCATCCCCCACCTGCCACTACACCCAACATATCATCCCCCACCCGCCACTCACAATCTACCATCATCCCCACCTGCCACCACACCAACATATATCATCCCCACCTGCCACCACACCTAATATATCATCCCCACCTGCCCCAAACCCAATATATCATCCCATCTGACACCAAACCCACAATATCATGCCCACCTGCCACCACACCTAATATATCATGCTCTACCTGCCACTACACCATAATATATCATCCCCCACCTGCCACACTACACCCATTATACCATCCCCACTGCCACCAAACCCAATATATCATCCCTCACCTGCCCTCTAAACCCAATATATCATCCCTCATCTGCCACCACACCCAATATATCATGCCTCACCTGCCACTCACACCCACATATCATGCCCACCTGCCACCACACCCATATCATCCCCACACCACACCCAATACATCATCCCCACCCTCCACCACACCCAATATATCATCCCCACCTGCCACCACACCCATATATCATGCCCACCACACTCACACCCATACATCATGCCCCACCTGCCACTCACACCCAATATATCATGCCCCACCTGCCACCACACCCAATATATCATCCTCTACCCTCCACTACACCCAATATATCATCCCCACCTGCCACCACACCCATATATCATCCCCACCCCACTGCACCCATATATCATCCTCTACCTGCCACTCACACATATTATATCATCCCCTACCTGCCACCACACCCAATATATCATCCCCACCTGCCACTGCACCCACATATCATGCCCCACCTGCCACTACACCCACATATATCATCCCCACCCTCCACCACACCCATATATCATCCCCTACCTGCCACACCCATTATATCATCCCCACCAATACACCCATATATCATCCCCACCTGCCACTAAACCTAATATGTCATCCCCCACCTGCCACTACACCCAATATATCATCCCCTACCTGCCACTGCACCCAATATATCATCCCTACCCCACACCACACCCATATATCATCCCTCTACCTGCCACCACACCCAATATATCATCCCCACCCCTCCACTCACACCCATATATCATCCCCACCTGCCACTCACACCCATATATCATCCTCCACCCGCCACTCAAACCCACTATATCATCCCTACCTGCCACCACACCCATATATCATCCCCACCCGCCACTCACACCCATATCATCCCCACCCACACCACACACCCAATATATCATCCCCACCTGCCACTAACCCAATATATCATCCCCACCTGCCACTACACCACAATAATATATCATCCCCCACCACACCACACCAAACATCATCCCCACCGCCACTCACACTCAATATATCATCCTCTTGCTGCCACTACACCCAATATATCATCATCTACCTGCCACTCACACCAATTACATCATCCCCCACCCCACCACACCCACATTTCATCCCCACCTTCACACCACCCACATTCATACTCCACCCGCCACTCACACCCACATTTCATCCCCACCTGCCACTCACACCCAATATTTCATCCCCCACCTGCCACCACACCCAATATTTCATCCCCCACCTGCCACCACACCCCACATATCATCCCCACCTGCCACCACACCCACATATCATCCTCCACCTCCACCACACCCAATATATCATCCCCACCTGCCACCACACCCACATATCATCCCCCACCCACACCACACCCACACATCATCCCCACCTGCCACACCCAATACATCATCCCCACCTGCCACCACACACCTAATATTTCATCCCCACCTTCCACTACACCTAACATATCATCCCCCACCTCCACCACACAACTGAATATATCATCCCCACCTGCCACCACACCCAATGATCATCCCCACCTGCCACCACACACAATATATCATCCCCCACCTGCCACCACACCCACATATCATCTCACCTGCCACCACACACACATCATCCCCCACCCGCCACCACACCCACATATCATCCCCTCCTGCCACCACTCCACACCCAATATATCATCCTGCCCACACCACATCCACATAATCCCCCATCTGCCACTACACCCAACACTCCTCCACCCACACCCAATATATCATCCCCACCTGCCACCACACCCACATATCATCCCACCTGCCACTCACACCCAATATATCATCCCCCACCTGCCACCACACCTGATATATCATCCTCACCTGCCACTACACCCAATTCCATCATCCCCACCTGCCACTCACACCCATAATATATCATCCCTCTACCTGCCACCACACCCAATATATCATCCCCACCCACACCACACCCAATACATCCCCACCCGCCACCACACCCACATATCATCCCCACCTGCCACCACACCCAATATATCATCCCCACCTGCCACCACACCCACATATCATCCCCCACCTGCCACTCACACCTAACATATCATCCCCACCTGCCACTAAACCAAATATACTCATCCTCTACCAACACACACCCATATATCATCCTCCACCTGCCACCACACCCACATAATATCATCCTCTACTTGCCACTACACCCAATATATCATCCTCACCTGCCACTAAACCCAATATATCATCCACTACCCACCACACCCAATATATCACATCCCCCACCTGCCACTCACACCCAATACATC